GTTCACTGCGAGGAATACACAGTGGGCTACCTGCACTCTGTTCACTGCGAGGAATACACAATGGGCTATCTGCACTCTGTTCACTGCGAGGAATACACAATGGACTACCTGCACTCTCTTCACTGCGAGGAATACACAATGGGCTATCTGTACTCTGTTCACTGCGAGGAATTGAACCCTGGATTTTAGCAGTGAAAGTTCGTAAACTCATTAGTTGAAATAAAGTCAAGAGTCATTTGAAGTTGCCTCCCAGTGGCACAGAGGTATGTCTGCGGACTTACAACGCTAGAATCCAGGTTTCGATACCCGTGGTGGACAGAGCACAGATAGCCCATTGTGTAGCTTTGTGTTTAATTACAAACAAACAAACATTTGCAGTTCCAGTTCACGGCCCTTGAGCCGAAGTAAAAGAAAAACTACCATACAATATCAGTTACCATACAAAATCAGCTACCATGCAATATCAGTTACCATGCAATATCAGTTACCATAGTAAATCAGTTACCATACAAAATCAGCTACCATGCAATATCAGTTACCATACAACATCAGCATTTCCTGAAAACACACCACCTCTGGTACAAACCTGTTTAAAGATTAATTAACGAATATTAGGTTACGATAGTAACCACAAATACATAATACTTGTAGCCATGGTTACCGTTAGCAATTAGCCAGCATCGTCTTAAAGTATGGGCAAACAAAGAAACCCGTCTATAAATACGTGTCTTAATCAAGACGTATGAGCTTAGCACGTATGAGCTTAGCACGTATGACAAACTTAATACATTCCTTCTAAAGCAACGCGGACAGAAGAAAGACGTGTCTCAGTTGTTGTTTTTTTATTATTCATGTTCCAACTGGAAACAAAACAAAAACTGAATTCGCAGGGAAGGACAAAACAATTCAATTAGTAAAAAATCAGTGACCAAGAACCTCCGAAGTAATTAACAGCCCTGCATTTGGTATGTTTAGGTTAGACTGCTTTATCTATACTCACTCGTATAGGTGACGAAACACTAAGATATATTATCTATACAACTATAGGTTTATACAGAAAAATAATAATTCAGCTTTCACGAGCTGTGAATAAACCAAGAATAAAAACAAGGATTAAATACGATATGTACTTCATGCACGTGATGCATCTTGTAAAATGCACTTGACTGACTACTTCACCACGCCCTCTACAAGTGGAAATGTGAGTAAATTATGTTGAATAATTCATGTCTCTGCTAATTAGAACAGTAAATAATAAATTATCGTTGATAACATGATTCTGGAGCTACAAAGTATAACAGGAGAAGCACTAGTTTCGTACTTCCGCTTCAGGAGCTGCCCTTATGGGTTCATTAAACAGTTGTGGCTTCTATAAACTAACTCAACGTTCTGACACTTAAACAGAAAATGTTTTCATTACTGGTTCATCATGAAGACTCACAAATAATTTACTTTCAAGGCTAACAAAAAAAAGGAACACTTGATAACAATTACAACACGTATATTTTATGTTAACCATAACATGAAAATCTGTTACTAACCATAACACGAACTTTTATATACAAATCACGTTAACCCTGTATTGAGAAAGACTACAAAATTCAAACTGCTAATATTGAATAAATATAAGTTCTTTTAATAGTTTAACACATAAAATTAATTTTGAATTTTATTAATATGTTTAAAAACCTAACAGACCTCTGTGGACATGTCGTTATTTAAATGTAACACTGTTTAATAAACAATTAGATCTCTCTAGACATGCCGTTATTTGGATGTAACACTGTTTAATAAACAATCAGATCTCTCTAGACATGCCGTTATTTGGATGTAACACTGTTTAATAAACTAGAGAGATCTAATTGTTTACTAAACAGTGTTACATCCAAATAACGGCATGTCAATCAGATCTCTCTAGACATACCGTTATTTGGATGTAACACTGTTTAATAAACAATTATAGCTACACGAACGTGTCAGTATTCAGATTTATGTCGTATTGTGTAAGGTGCCACTAGTTATTTATAGATCATTATCACACAGATCGAGAGAATGTATTATTTTTACTGTTTTTTTCACCGAAAGATTTGTTAACAGTACTCGTTCAGTGACTTATCAGCACATATCTAGTGACTTACAGTTTTGATGTTGGGGTCACAACACTCTGCAAGTCATCCAATAAACTTTCCACAGTTGGCCTGTCCTCCTCCGGAGGTTTCGTAGCCGCACGAATACACCCATATCTAGGAGTGGAGGCATCCGTGGATGAAGGAGTTATTCCATTGACAGTGGATGCTGAAGGTGAAAATAGTTTCAGCCATTATAGCTCTATGATACATTAAAAGTAACGTTAACACAATTAATATTTACATTCGTGTCCGATGTTAATAATATAAACTAAAATGAACGCCATTTGATATATCTTTCCAAACTAATGATAAACTGAAAGTTTATTAATAACTACTAATAAATAATGTTTTATTTACAGTTCTGGTAAATAAAAAATAAAATACTTCTGTGTCCTTGAAATGATCATGTCTAACCTAACGGGGCTGCAGTGGAAAACAATATTGGTGTAAAATAAGTTGATATATTCGCTCAATAGCAGGCCAGATGGAATACCACAAACATAACAATAGTTGGGACGCTATTGGTAATAACAGTTATGGTGTGAACTGGAGTGAATGTTTCACCATTTTTTTAAACAAGACGTTAAAACACAAAACCTAATGAACAAACACATAACATGCTATGCAGCACAGACACATAACCTGAAATGTCTTATCCAACGAGTAATTCCGGCGAGGATAAAAAAAAAACCTACAAAAGACAAACAAAACGCAAGTCGCTTGGGAAGTTTGTTTGGTAAAAGCATGAAAACGCTGGAATTATTATTATTTTCTTGGAATGAAATAAATAAGTTCCAACGAAAACATTAAAATCAGCTTTTTACCCCCCCCCCCAAAAAAAAACATTGTCTACTTATTGGTAAATAATGTGACACAGAAGGAAAGTGAAATCTGCTACCTTATCTACACCAGCAGAAACACCCCCCACCCCCTCTCAGGGCGGGTATAACTGTTAGTTCCTGCGGTCTTTTCTGGAATTGTCTGACAGTTCTACAACAATGTACTATACTTGACATTCAATAATGTTCACCATCCATGAGAAAAAGGTTTTT